AAGAAAATCAGGCCCATAAATGAACCTGGTAGGCATAATGTTACCAACCACTGAATGTTTTCTATAGTAAATTTTGTAGTTTTGAAATGCCGATACTATCGAWATGCATGTAAAAAGGTGTTTGCCCTAAAATTTTCAGGTTTGGTTAAGATAAATAAAATCATGAATTATATGAATTCAGTTTGCTTATTTTCTGAATTTGATGTTTAGTTGATATTTTAGATGTAAAAAAAATACGTCCGCATTGTACGCCTAGCTCTAGGCGTTTTATATACATGTTTAGTGTTCCCGAACAAACTAGCATTATTTGAGTTTTACTGTCAAGTAAAGTGGCCACCCTKGTCTCCCCCACACGGAAAAAACTGAGATTTCCTTTCTCGACGTTATTAGCGAGATAGCTATGAGAAAAGCATATTAAAAGTAAATTTAAGTCAGTCTAAATTTTCTGAAAAAAGTCAAAATGTGCATTCAACAGAATGGGTTTTTATTCCATCAGCATATATACATTAGAATGGCCGCAGAGATGGGAGCAACGGTCTCCGCAGTGACGATCATAGTTCCTCTAATAACAATATATGTTAGCGGCCATGACTGTATACATGGTTTTAATGTGTCATATACAGGAATCCTAAGAAGTATGACGGCATCGATACGATCAGCGTGGAGCCGAGTAATATTTRGTTGCCAATTGTTCTTGTACAACAAGTACAAGCACATGGAAGTCCACAAATGATCTTAAATCTTGAATACGCATCGGATGATTGGACTTTGTCTGCTAATCAATAATTGGTACAGTTAGACGTAGTCCACATTCAGGGCGAAGATCCGCCCGGGGGCGAAGAAAGTCTCGCTATACAGGATCGACCCAATAACAATCGATGTCGACAGTGATCTCTCAGATATTTCTCCACACGAATATACTGGAAAAATCGCGCGCTTTGAGGTTGTAAATTTGATGTAGATATATTTACATCAAATTTACAACCTTTAAAGCGCGCGATTTGTCCCAGTGATATATACCCAAAAGCCCCCTGCTGAAGTAGCCTTCCACGAACTCTGCTGGTATACTCACTTCCATATACCCGAGAACTTTTTTTTCTTTTTTTTTCTGTGTGTCAGTACAAATCACCCAGAGTGMATATAATAACAATATATATTAGCGGCCATGACTGTATATGGTTTTAATGTGAAATACTATATCTGTATCTCAATTAAAATTTGATAAATCTGATCTTTCCATGAACCTTTTTAATTAACTTTGTACCGATTGACTTATCAAATGGCAGTGACGTAGAATTGTGGATGTCGATCAGTCAATTAACCAGAAAAAATAAGGTTTCCAACATCTTCATAAACATTAACAGCTTCTAAAAAATACCTCCTTAGCTAAAGGGAAAAAGGGCAGTCTGTGATTCGACKTTGACAGTTTTCCCTTTCTAAACCCCGGCTACATTTCATTTAGTTTAAGGAAGAATATGATCAGACGATGAGCAGCAATAATGGTGAGTTCTCTTAGCCATTTTTTCTTTCCATTTGATGAAATAAATGAAAAAGTCCAAATTTGAGAGATGGCCATTATTGTTATAACCCATTTTTCACAACTGATAAGTGTATCGATCAAAAACGCTATTGTGAAAAAAGTTTAAAAAGCAGATTATTCTCTCATTTTTTCCTGGTCTTTGTCTCTTTAGTTTTTACTATTATGACACCTCAAATCTTTACTCAATATAATTTCTTTTGCAAACTTTTAGCACCAGCTAAACTTCGCTTTGATGGCATTGTCTGCTGCAAATACTAGCTGTGTTTCCTGCGACCTTGTACTCATTTGGTTATTTTTGCATGTTATAAATGAGAAATCATCACAATTCCATATTTTTTTCTGTGAAAAGAAATCATTTACAAAAAGACATTTTTTTCTATAGAATGAAGCCATTATTGTTCATTGTGCTGATATATAGATGATATTACATGGGCGCGCGGAAATACGGATTTTATCTTGTTATTTTCAATAGCTATTTATTACTATGCTGCAATTGTTCCTATTGCAACATCTGATGAATAATGGCTAATAATATCACGCGACATGCCTTTTATACATCCATATATCTCAACCCTGATGGATAGGTGAGTATGCCACTCTATTACTACAAATCTAATGAGCCTTGGCATGGAATAGTGCTTGAAGCTTGTGTGCCACAACTGACTGTCAGAATTACCTTGGAAATCAAGGATGCCGTGTACATTTGTATATGGTTTGAACGTCTTAGCACCTATTTTTTTCCGATATCTTCATYTATTGTAAACACACGAAGACAATAGCCTTTCGTCAGTCGTTCGTAGTTTGATCGACAAAGGATATTATTATTTAACATATAATTATCTATAAAATACCTATATTGCTCCATTTCGTAAAATTGATACTTTCACTATTCTTATTGGTTTAATTGCCAAAAAATCATGCGAAAAGTTTCAATTTTTAGTACTTAAGATGAGGTCCTACTGATGAGAGGCCTACGGGCCTCTGTGACATCAACTGTGTTTAGATATGAAGGTAGAATGATCAAACTAAAAGATTATTCATGTCGAAGTAATGATCAATCTTTCCTAAAAATAGTGCAAAAAGATGAGAATAAAAATGGATATCACCATTGAGTATTATTAAGTTTATGAGCGTTTGGCCGGTGTCAGCCATTAAAAGAAAACGCCTTTGAAAAAAATCTCTTTGGGGTTGTAATCCAATATTATTTTGAGAAAGAGCTTATAAAACATTAATCAAATCCAAAATAAACACAATCTTATGAGCCGAGATGTCAAACTGTTTAAAGTGTAAACAGGATATTCAAGTTTACTTAATTTATTAAACTTGAGGAGTGGAGTGAGGCATGTGTTAGGGATAGATCCTATAACTCTTTGAACTTTTTGCCTTGAATAAGGGAAAATACGATATTTTGAAACAAGAATGAACTGTACTTTGATTATTCGACGAGGAAGACTAGCTGATAATGGTGAGTTCTTTGCGCTTTTCAGTTCCACATGGTAGCTTTGTAGCTATAAAAACAGCCCATAAAAAATAATTCTAAATCACGCATACTAAACCCATTTCAAATCGCACAAATACTGAATACAGACTTTTTTCAGTAGAAAGAAACTTTCCAAATTAAGTTAAAATTTGATTTCTTTATCATTTAAATTKAATAAGCTGTTTTCAACACAGCATTCGAGACAGGTGGGAAAAATATCCTTAATGATCTCAGTGAGTATTGATGTTACTGTATGATTTAACATTATTGTTGGCATATTAATGTTGAACCTGCTCATGAGAAACTGGATACGTTCTGTATAATCAATTCCAGAATAGCGGCGTTATTATCAACCTAGTGCTTCTGATCAACGTAGTGTTACTGAAAACTACACTGGCCAACAAGTGTGATGCTGCAYCTTATCAAGTAGCAGGTCACGTGCTCCTTCACCAAGTGATTCAGTCTTTTCAAGGAACCAGTTCTATAGTCAGCTGTCTTGACCATTGTAACGGCACTAACGCGTCATGTCACAGCATCAACTGGTACAGTAAGACAGGCCTGTGTCAGCTGAACAACGGTACTCACCTCTCCTACCCTGAGGGTCTTGTGCCATACTCGACTGGAAGCTACATGCTGTACAGCCCTCACCCAATGGTTACCTGTAGCAACAAGTTTTGTAGTCATGAAGACGTTTGTCTGATGGAAAAGGACGGGATCAACTATCACTGTTTGTCGGGTAAGCTGGAATAAGGATAATGTTTTTACATATTTTTGGTTCTTGTAATTTGATTGATGGGTGTCAGTTTCACCTCTAAGGTTGACTGCAAGTTTGTGTTTATCGTAGAGTGCATGGCACCATTAGGGATGCAAAATGGACGCATTCAAGATTCTGCGATCAGTGCTTCATCCTCGCATGGACATCACTATGACCCCTATGTAGGACGGCTGTTCTCGACTGTCGRTTTTGGCGCCTGGTGTCCAAATAAATCAGCTGTTGGGGAATTCCTTCAGATTGATTTGAAGAAAACATACATTGTCAGCAAAGTAGCCACACAGGGTCGAGGGAGGGAGGATGCACACTATCAGTGGGTGACTAAGTACTACCTTGAGTACAGTCAAGACAACAGTACCTGGCAGTCATACAAATATGGYGGCTCCGTGAAGGTATGACCGCGACAAAACATTATCATTTTTTATAATCTTGTTGATTAGTACCTCATTTATATTTTTTCCAGATTTTTCAAGGTAACTCCGACAGGAACTCGGTCGTGACTCACAAGCTTCCATCATCAATCCAAGCAAGGCTCATTAGATTTGTAGTTCTGAGGTGGCATAAGTTCATAGGACTTAGGGTAGAGATATATGGATGTAGTATTCTTTAGGTATCGACCATCATAGCACGATAGACTATAGTATGGTTTTAGCTGCATAACGATAATAATCACTTCCATAGCGTTATTTGACTCCCTCAAAAATGTAACCCACACTATCTTGTACAATATGTATCTTTTACGTTATCAAATAAACAAAAATATGAACATCGTTACTGAGTCCTTCACTTTTCACTTTTTCTTTGATGTTTTGTATATTCGCACAAYTTCAATATTTATCTGCTCAACGGCTATTTCAAAATTGTGTTTTGACAATCTTAACCAGTTCTTAGTTCTAGTATATCATAGAACTGACAATTTTTATATACAATATGAGCTTGCTAATGATTACGTTATTCGGACAAGAATATATTGCGTTCTGTGTTCCCATTCTGTTCTGATTAATAATTGATGTGTTTTRTTCTGAACTATAAAAGTCATTTGTTTCTCGTTGGCTTTGTTAGAATAATTGATTTGAACTTATCTTGTYATTAAATCCTGAGTTACTGCGATCTATCAAATTCTTGCCATAACAGCACAAATATCTAATGGTACCGTTAAGCGTTTTTGCAATGGGTTTGCATGATCGATATGTACGTCCATCAGCATTGATGTTTAGCCACTATACAAGCTGTCAATCAATATCATCCACTAGAATCAAAGCAATTACTGTAAACAAGAGTATAATAATATACAGCCACTTTAAAGCCACAATAATCAGTGCTCATTACATAGAGTCTAGATAAAGGCGTGGGCCTACGTCCCGAAATCGCTGCGTTTTCCAAACGTACATATCATAAAACTGACCTGTAGTTCACGGGAAAACATGCCTTTTTAAAGCAATAATCAGATTATCAGGGATACTACTTGTAATGGTGGGTATTTCTCTGCTTTTTTCCGCTCTATGATTTATTAAATATAAAAACGCACAATACAAGTCGTAACAGAAAAAAGAATGTATACAAATGTAGCCAAGGCTGCTATGATGTTGAAAATGTATATTGTGAATCCAAGCTTTCGCTGTACTACATCCCTGATGATGCTGTAACAGCATCATCAGGGATGTAGTACAGCGAAAGCTTGGATTCACAATATACATTTTCAACATCATAGCAGCCTTGGCTACATTTGTAAACATTCTTTTTCTGATCACAATCATGCTGCTAAAGGATACCTTCACTCGTCTACAAGTCGTAACATTTCACAAAACATCTGACAAATACTAGAAGCAATGCATTCGTGCCTTTGTTGTTGTTAAGATTTCACTCGGTGTCCGGCCGGTTCTGAGCTGGCTTCGTATCTTTTAAATAGGGTCAATTCTCGAACAACGGGAAAAAACATTGAAGAAGAGTTATAAAGAAATAGATTTTGATTAACCTCAACAATCTATCGACACTGATTTTCTCCAGTTTGTTAAACTTGTGCTTTTCTCGTGTTAAATACGTCAAAAATGTTCGTATCTTTTAATTGTTTCTGATCGACAATTTATTTTTTTACCTTTTAACAAGTATCAATGTATATATCAAATCAACATTCCGTGATCCGTTTGCCTCATTAKCACTTCACTAGTATTCCACAGATTTAATGACCGATAGAATCGAGATCAAAGGCCGGAGTCGAAAAATCATCTTAAAAGGTCAATATTACATGTAAAATTTCCTCTACTCTTTCCGTGGTTTTATACATGGCGCCCTAGTAATAATTCAAGGACAATGTTTTCAGAATAGTGATATTTCTTTTGAAAACACCAATCGCCAACACGTGTGATACCGGCATACCATATAAGTCATTTAAAGTGCATGGCATGCTAGGTCATGTGACCCTTCATTAAAAATCTATGTTATCCATTCCAGAATAACCTAGTGCTTCTGATCAACGTAGTGTTACTGAAAACTACACTGGCCAACAAGTGTGATGCTGCAMCTTATCAAGTAGCACGTCACGTGCTCCTTCATCACGTGATCCAGTCTTTACAGGGTACTACTTCTTCATCCAGCTGTCTTGACCGTTGTGAAGACAACTTGTCTTGTCACAGCATCAACTGGTACAGTATTACAGGTCTGTGCCAGCTGAATGACGGTACTCACCTGTCCTACCCTGAGGGTCTTGTGCCAGACTCGACTGGAAGCTACAAGCTGTGCAGCCTTCGCCCTATGGTTACCTGTAGTAACAAGTTCTGTAGTCATGAAGACGTTTGTCTGATGGAAAAGGATGGGATCAACTATCGATGTCAATCGGGTAAGTTGATTGTTACAGAACAAAGGAAAGACCCTCAATCACTGCMAGAACACCTAAGTATCCAATTCCAGGAAACGTTGTTGCTTGTTGTATAACAGTGACATCAAGAGTACTGTCTTTTATTACTATTGATAAATTATATCTGTCTCAGCATGTATGGCATCTTTGGGCATGCAAGATGGACGAATTCAAGCTTCTCAAATTACAGCTTCGTCCACGTTTGGAAATGACGCAGSGCATGGACCAGATAAAGGCAGATTGCACTCGACTGCYGGTGTTGGTGCATGGTGTGGCAGTGTAAAAGCTGCAGGGGAATACCTTCAGATTGACTTGACGAAAACATATGTTCTCAGCAAAGTAGCCACRCAGGGTCGAAATRATAGTGTATACATTWACTGGGTGACAAAGTACTACCTTAAGTACAGTCAAGATGGCAGCAACTGGGAGTCATAYAAATATRGCGGCRTTGTGAAGGTATGACCTCATCAAAGTGGCATTATCTTGTATCATATAAGTTTTGTCAATGCATCTCATTTTTCTTCAGCATTTCAAAGGTAACTCGGACAGGSACTCAGTCGTGGCCCACAAGCTTCCATCACCAATCCAGGCAAGTTTGATCAGATTTGTAGTACTGGAGTGGTATGGTTTCATATGCATGAGGGTTGAGGTATATGGATGCTATATTCATTAGATATTACCATGAAAACCGGAATAACGTCACAGYATTGTTCACTGAGCTGCATCATAAATTGATTTCTTTTAATTGAAAAATAAATGCTTATCGACATGGGACAGCCAGCGCTGCACAAAAAAGACTTATTGACCGATTTAACTCGGTAAATACTTAATACAGAAGGAAGTACGCTGCTTTGAGCTCAGTGAAATAGTGTTTCCTGCATTATTTAAAAACTGAGTGAGAATTTCAAAGGTTCAATAAAGACAAAAAGTTAATTTAAAATTGAAATCATTTTCAGTGTTGCTTTAAATAATTGATACTGCAGTTTTTTAAACTTAAACTATACTACTGAGTTACTTTGTTAGAAACAAAAGTATCTTATTGTTTTAAGGGAATAAAAAATGTGTGCATTATTTATCAGTTAATTGAATTGTGTGTATGATTTGACTTGCATCTTAAACAAAGAAAACAAATCAATTTTTGAACTTCGCTTATTCAATGACATGTCACGCAAATTTTCGAGATTAAAGTTTGCCTAAGAAATGATTAAAAAGTGACAAAAGTCAGAAAAAAGAATCCCTATTTTTTGGCCATTTGAATGTATACCCAGCTCTTTGTTTGGTCCATCGCGACCATTATACAGTCAAAAAAACTCTTATTSACTGGCAGAAACTATAATCATCACGCCCACATGAAAAAGTCTGAAAAACCAAGYCCGGCGGGAGTCAAACACTATTGTAAAGAGAGTATATAACAATTACGTTCACTTAATAATCAAACCTGGTTCAGTACGTACAAGAAAGTTACACTTTTATGGAGTCCAAGAATTAAATTGAAGATGCACTGGCATGATATGGTAAGTCGTTTTGCGCTTTTCAAAAACTAGAAAGCCTCACTAATCAAATACCCATTCATTGTACAAAAAAAGTATTCGAAAATGGAAAATGTTTGAGCTTTAGTAATCCCGTATTCTTTCGAGATTTTTGTAAAAAATGTWTTCATTCACATTGAAGTTGAGTTGAACTTCGAGGTCGTGACCGTCAATAATCATAAGACATAGTTGTATTGGAASGTTTTCGGATTAAAAACTTATTTTTCTAATAGTATTTGTGAAGACTATTATCAAATATCAATCTCATTACTTTTATTCCAGAATAGCAGTATTATCRGCCTAGTTSTCTTGATCAACTTAATGCTGCTGAAAACAACACTGGCCAATAAGTGTGATGCTGCATCTTATCAAGTAGCAGGTCACGTGCTCCTTCATCGCGTGATCCAGTCTTTACAGGGTACTACTTCTTCATCCAGCTGTCTTGACCATTGTGAAGACAACTTGTCCTGTCACAGCATCAACTGGTACAGTAAGACAGGTGTGTGTCAGCTGAACAACGGTACTCACCTCTCCTACCCTGAGGGTCTTGTGMCAGACTCGACTGGAAGSTACATGCTGTACAGCCCTCACCCAATGGCTACCTGTAGCAACAAGTTTTGTAGTCATGAAGACGTTTGTCTGATGGA